CGTTCATTAGTTCTCAGTATACAGATTGATAACTTCATTTCCCTCTTGAGAGTTCTGGCACCCACACATATATATATATTTATATATATATGACCAATTCCCTGGAGTGGGGGGGGGGGGGGGGAGAACAGCCCTGGGGGTAGGGAGGGGGGCAAAGAAAGTGCAGGGAAAAACGACTGCATTTGCTGTAATTAAGAAAGGAACACAGGGAATTGTTGCGGTCGTTAACCCTTCCATCCTGGTATAACTTCTTTATTCATAAGCATTTTACATTGCGGAACAGAATTTCTGTACTTTTTGTTATGTGGAATACTACAGGGCACAGGGTCTTTTTAAAAATTTCATTCGGTTTATAAGTCGAGCCCAAGAAAATGTGACCGTCCACTTTGACCACCCCACAAATCCCCCCCCCCAGCTGACTCAAAGTGGTCTTAATTCCAAATAGTTCAAATGACACAGTTTTTCAATATACAGACCTGCCCATTCAGGCATTCACAACTATCCATCTATTTGTACTATTGAGCAGCCCTTGAGTTTATTTGATTAAAATTCCTTTTTAGGAATCTCTCTGAATATACTAAATATGCTCTCCTCGCCATCCTTAGTTCATCTACTACCACAGTGAAAAGACCCTGTGAAAAGCAACTTCACTTACCAATTTTCTTTTTGTCCGGCAGAAAATTAGACGGGCTAGTCAACAGGAAGAGAAGTTAAAATGCTTACAAGGCAGGGTAAGGGAGCAGTGGGAACAGGGAGCCGACTTTGGAAACGAAACCGAAAGGCTGCAGCGGAGGTGGTGGCCAGCTGGCTGCATAGCAGTATCTCCCCTGACACAGAAATCTTTTAGATGTTCCAATATCTAGACAGATGTGAACATCCGAGGGAAGGGAATGGGGCAACATTGGCCCTTACCCTCCTTTCATGGCCCACCGTGGAAAAATGGAGGGAAATGGAACTGCTTTTCTTTCTTTCTTTCTTTCTTTCTTCATGACTGAAAGGATGTTAATTGTATTTTAGTAATTTCATTTTTGAGCTTTTCCTTCAAGAATGCGAGTGGCTACTGAGATCAGCAAACCACCTTTGAGCCCAGATTATATATCCTTCCATTTTATTGGCCAATGTGTCTTATAGGGATGCCAGACTCCAGGTGGGACCTGGGAATCTCCCGGAATTACAGCTGATTTCCAGACTACAGAGATCAGTTCCCCTGGAGAAAATGGCTGCTCTGGAGGGTGGACTCTATGGGACTCCACTGAGGGCCCTGTCCTCCCCAGGCTCCACCCTCAAATCTCCAGGAGTTCCCCAACCTGGATCTGACAACCCTATCCCCCCATCCCACACTGGTGGCCGGGGGGCCTGGCAACCCTATGTGTATGTTCTCAATGTCAATTTGGAACGAAGGATGGACTCACAACCAGAGGTCGATTCGGGGGGATCGCGGGGGATTGCCGTTCCCCCGGGTGAGGGGCGAGGGCGGGGCACACGACGAAGCCCCACCCCCTGCTTCCGGCTGCCCCGCTTCCGGCCCTCATTCAGCCAGGAGGAGGCAGGAGAAGAGGGAGGGCAAGTTGTTTCCTCCCCGCCTCTGATGTCAGGGGGTGTGGCATATGCTAATGAGTTATGCTAATGAGTTCCCCTAGCTCTTTTTCTACGAAACGACCCCTGCTCACAACTGAAGAATTAAAGAGCCAGTGTGGGGCGATGGTTAGAGGGAGGAGGAGGAGGAGGAGATTGGATTCCTACCCTGCTCTTCACTACCCAAAGGAGTCTCAGAGCAGTTTATAATCCCTTTCTCTTCCCCTCCCCACAACAGATACCCTGTGATGCAGGTGGGGCTGAAAGAGTTCTTTCGAGAACTGCTCGTGAGAGAACAGCTCTGAAAGAACTTGTAACTGACACAAAGTCACGCCAGCAGCTGCATGTGGAGGAGTGGAGACTCAAACTTGGTCCTCCCAGATTAGCATCCGCGTTCCTAACCACTACACCAAACTGACACCTCCCTCCACGCACCTGTGAAGCATGACTTTTGGTCAGCCAGTTTGGTGGGAGAGCCAGTTTGATGTAGTGGTTAAGTGTGCAGACTCTAAGCTGGGAGAACCAGGTTTGATTCCCCACTCCTCCACTTGCACCTGCTGGATGACCTTGGGCAAGCCATAGTTCTGATAAGAGCTGTCCTTGAAAAATAGCAGTTTCTGTCAGAGCTCTCTCAGCCCCACCAACCTCACAGGGTGTCTGTTGTGGGGAGGGGAAGGGAAAGGAGTTTGTAAGCCGCTCTGAGACACCTTTGGGTAGTGAAGGGCGGGGCATAAATCCAATCTCTTCTTCTTCTTCCCTCAATATAGTTATATCTCCAGGACTGTTGTGAGGAAGGTTACAAATGGGCGAATACCAAATCATGTACACCACACAGTGCTTAGAGGAACACTAAGATAAAAATGAGACAGATAGAATGACAATAGTAAACTTCATAATATACAAACAGATCAAACCTAAGCAGTGAAATACCCTTCTAAACCCATTGACTACAATGGACTTGGAAGAGTGGAAAAGGTGTTTTCTCACTATAATGGGAAACCTGGTTCCCTACCACCCCATTCTGGGAGCCAAAACCTCCTAGTGTTCCTTGGTTCTAAAGAGGCCAGACTGGCCATCACCAGGGCTAGAGCCTTCTCCATGGCAGCTCCACACTGGTGGAACAAGCTCCCTGAGGACACCAGGGCTCTGCGGAACTTACTTCAGTTCCACAGGGCCTGCAAGACGGAGCTCTTCCACCAGGCATTTAACATCTTGACATAACTTGGAGCTTCCCTGGGATTGTGTTCATCATCTAAGTCTGTACTAACTGACTCCTGTTATGAAAACACTGGATTATGATTGTCGTCGCATAGGAATGTATGCATGTATGTACCGCACTTTAGATTTTATGTGTTTTTAAATTGTTTTAACAATTTTATGTAAGCCACCCTGAGCCTGCTTCAGCTGGGTGGGCGGGGTATAAATCTGATAAATAAATAAATGATGTCCTCGGTGATCCCCCAGGCAAAAGAAAACTCTTTGATACAACTAATTGCCAAATTATTTGTCCTTTATCCCAAATGGGTATGCATGGTTTTATGAGTGCAATAGATCCCATTTGAATCTATGACGGACCCCTGATGCTTCCCCACTCCCAGGCAGATTTTCCTGCCAAATTTTTTGTTCCCCTCAGTGCCTGAGCTGCCCTTCAGTAGTGTGTATTTCATCTTATTTTATAAGCTTTAACTGCCCCACCCTGTCACAGATATTAGTTTAGGCTTATCACCCAGCAAAGGAACTAGAGGGAATACAGGACATGTGAAATGGCTCATGAGGCAAAATTAACTTTCAAAACAGAATAATAACGATTTTAATAAACAGGCAGGGAAGATATAAACATGCAGGAGGATTCAATAAGGTATAGAAGATGCGGAGGTAAAACTTTCTAATATATACAGAATTGAGGTTTTTGAATATACGACAGTGTCGTTGTAGCTTAATTTCTGAGTTTGAAGTTCTTTTCAGTGAGAAGTTTTTTGTTTATTATATATTTCAACTGTTACACAGAATCTTAAATACAGTTTCATAGAGAGTAGCTTTGTCTTAGTGCTTCTAGGTTTCTCCCTTCAGAGATCTGGGTTTTCCCTTTAGATATTATAGCTTTTGAGTAACTCTTGAGCAGTCTAAGCTCTTCCCCTTTATCACAATCAAGGGTTTCTACTGGCTAGAAGTTATTCTTCTTGTCCCTAAGAAGCAACAACTCCTTTTCCTATTTGGCTTGTCTGGGAGTTCTCTCTAACTCCTCAAACCTCCTGCCAAATTCCTCTTCAGTACTATATGTCTGTATAAAGCAGTGTTGTAGCTTTCTTGACTGAGAATCTGAATTCTCCCTCAGAGTAGTTTTAATATATCTTAGACAATGGAATCGCTCTTCTTCTATATATAAAAGTACTTTTCTGGCAATTCACTGACAGAAATCACTGACGCCCAAAGTCTCTTCCCTCAGAAACCAAACCCTCTGGCCAGCGAATGAACCTTTTCCTTCCAGATCAGCTGTTTTATTTCCTCTCTAAGCTGATGCTGGCCAGTCAGAAAGTGAGTAGAGCAGCCAATCACATAAGCTCTTCTCTCCAGGGAAGATGAACTGATAAACCTCCCTGACTCTCTGTCCCAAGCAGCATTTTGAAACCTGCGTTGTCTTGCAAGTCAGTTACAGGACCACAAGGACTATTCAATAACCCTATCTTGGAATGAGACTGACCTTGGTGTGTTTCACTCTGACCACCAATACATTTGCTATGTTCTGGTTGTGGTGGAAACAGGCAATGATTTCAGCAAATAACTGAAGGGTCACTGCAACCTGCAGCCTCATCCCATTTTTGGTATTGGGAAACAGGTCTTGCAGATGTCATATTATTTCAGAAATGTGCACAATCCCATTGACTGGATAAAGCAGTTGAACAAAAAGAAATATGTATGTACGCTATGCAAGTGGTGCTTCCCTTGAACCACTTTCTTTGTAACGATTTTGTGTCTCCAGACATTCATCTTCTAACAGTTGTTAGAAGTTGTTAGCATCATACTCTTGAGCTGGTGACCCACTGAGTCACAAACAGGCAACCAGTCACATCATTTTTTGCCTGCTGGGTGCTTCATAACACGCCTGTCCTTGGCAAAAGGTTCAGCATGCCCTTGATAGGGATGCCAGCTGCAGGTGGAACTTGGAGATCCCTCAGAATTACAGCTCCAGACTACAGAGATCAGTTCCTCTGGAGAAAACGAATGCTTTGGAGGATGGATTCTGTGGCATTGCACCCCGCTGAGAGGTCCCTGAGCACTCCGCCCGGCTGAGAGGTCCCTGTCCTCCCCAGGATCCATCCCCAAATCTCCAGGAGTTTCCCAACCTGGATCTGGCAACTCTATCCCTCCATCCCCTGCGGGTGGCCGGGGGGAACTGGCAACCATAACCCCCGATAAGAGACCATCTATGGTTTCTGGGCTGCATGCTCACATAGCCCACACCTACACTTAAAGATGTTCCAGTTTGGCTGGGCCACTTTCTTCTGCAGCAGTTTCCTCACCGCTCCTTTGATTTCTTTGTTCCGGAGACTGTAAATCAGAGGGTATAGCAAGGGGGTAATGTTGGTGTATACCAGAGAGATCATCTTGTCCCGGTTTGGTGAGTACTTGGACTTGGGCCGGACATACATGAAAGTGGCGCAGCCGTAGTGCAAGACGGTAACAGCCAGATGCGAGGCGCAGGTCGAGAAAGCCTTGCCCCGCCCGGCAGAGTCACGGATGCGTATCACGGCTGTGGTGATGTAAGAGTAGGAGACGAGGATAAGCACAAAAGGGAGCAAGAGGAGGAGGATGCAGGCGGCCAGAAGGGGCAGTTCGTTGGCGTAGCTCTTTGTGCAGGCCAGGTGTAGCAGAGCGGGGATATCGCAGAAAAAGTGGTTGATGCGGTGGGAGCTGCAGAAGGGCAGGCGGAAGACAGCCACGGTCAGGCCCAGGGAGACAATGAAGCCACCGAGGCAGCAGATTATGGCCAGCTGAAGGCAGAACTCCTGGCTCATCATGACCGCATAGTGCAGGGGCCGGCAGATGGCCGCGTAGCGATCGTAGGACATGGCAGCCAGGAGGAAGCATTCGGCCCCTCCCAGAGCCACAAAGAAGTGCATTTGGGTGGCGCAGCCCACGAAGGAAATGGTGCTCCCCCCTGTGGAAACGAGGTCAGCCAGTGTCTTGGGAACAATGACGAGGGTGTAACAGAGCTCAATCGCGGAGAGCTGGCAGAGGAAGAGGAGCATGGGCGGGCGGGAATGCTCGGCAGCCACAGCCAAGAGAATGAGAAGGTTTCCTGCCAGAGTAGCCAAGTGCACCGTGAGGAAGATGAAAAAGAGGAGGCCCCGCAGGTGATGCAAGTCAGAGAATCCCAGCAGCAAGAATTCCATGGCTTCGCCAGATGTATGGTTACTTCTCTCCATGCAGTTTCCACCACTATGCCTGCAAGGAAATAAACGGGAAGCCGGAGCATAAGACTAGGGATTTATTTTTATGCCTGTTTATTTAAATACCAACCCGGATAGCTCAACTTAGCCCTAGCTCGTCTGAGCTTGGGGGCTAAGCAGGGTCGACCATGGTCTGTAGAAGAAGAAGAGTTGGTTTTTATACTCCGCTTTTCTCTACCCTAAGGAGTCTGAAAGTGGCTTCAAATCGCCCTTCCCCTCCCCACAACAGGGACCTTGTAAGGTATGTGGGGCTGAGAGAGTTCTGAGAGAACGGTGACTGGCCCAAGTATACTCAGCAGGCTTCACGTGGAGGAGTGGGGAATCAAACCCAGTTCTCCAGATTAGAGTCCAACACACTTAACCACTACACCACCATTACACCCAGTACTTGGATGGGAGACCACTAAGTAAGACGAGGGCTGCTCCATAGAGAAATATAACAGCAAACCGCCTCTGTTCCTCTCTTGCCCAGAACACCCCGTGGAAACCACCTCTACTCCTCATTCGGCTGGAGCATCCCTTGGAAGGGGCTGCCATGAGTCAGTTGTGACTTGACAGCACATTTTTTAAATATTTAAATATTTCTATCTGCTTTTCTCTCCACTGAGGGACAAAATGGCTTACAAAAAAAGCACAGATGTAATTTAGCAAAACAAATGGAAAAAAAAACGCAACTCATCTTTCAGGAAGCAAGGTTGTTCCTCAGCCTTCTAACAACACATGAATAATCACTGCCATCTAAACCATGGACAGACTTCGAGGAATTTCAGACAGATGATATAATCCGGAACGGTTCCCAAACGGTTTCTGGTCTGTCATTTCAGACAGAACTGTTTTAGAACCGGTTCCCTACTGGAATATATTTGTAATTTCAGACACAAACACTTCTGTCCCATTTAGGAAACGGGGCTGAAGCGTTTTACCTGTCAACCGCTTCCAAGTAGTCTTCCGTTTCCTCTCCTGGTTCCGATGCGCTTTTTCCCGCCGTTTTTCGCCCGCGCAGGCAATCTCCAGCTTTTTTTTTAATGTTCACTTTATAGCGTTATAGCGCTACAACGGAACAGCAGTATATCAACACCATTGGAGTGCCTGGAGTGTTTTGTTATAGTGCTATAGCGCTATAAAGCGAACAATTTTTAAAAAGCCAGAGATTGCCTGCGCAGGCAAAAAACGGTGGGGAAAAAGCGGTGCAGTCTGAAATGGCAAACTGCTTCAGATCTAGCTCTTTACCGGAAGGGGAAAGCCGTGTGTGAAATGGCAGCCCTATACCGGTTTACTCCATGACAGATCAAAACCGGCTTCAAAAGGGTAATGTGAAATTCCTCTTCTTCAGTGGTGGCACCTCACCTTTGGAATGCCCTGCTTTGCTGTGCTTAGAGTGTCAGACTAGGACTGGGAAGACTCAGGTTTAAAAGTTCACTCTGCTTTGGGAGCTTTCTGGATGACTTTTGGCCACTTACTCTTGCACAGCCTGACCTATGTCACAGCATCGTCGTTCTGAGGATAAAATGGAGGAGACAATGACGTTGTTAGCCGCTTTGGTTCCCCATTCAGCCAAAAAGGGGATAATAATTATCATATGGCAGTGTGTATAATATAGTCTGGAGATCCTAAGATTGTCTGGCAGCCAGTAGCTATTTTAAAGTTATGCGCCACTAGATGACAAGCTAGACTTGGTTTTAAGGCAAGATATTTTTCGGGTTGCCACTGCCTGCCTCGCCATCACAACCCTGGTATTCCTTGGAGGTTGCCCATCTGAATACTAGCCAGGGTTGCCCTTGCTTAGCTTCCAAGATCTCACGAGATGATGCTAGCCTGGGCTACCCGTCAGGGCCAAAAAGTTGGAATACATAGGCAAGTAAATAAGTTTATGGACCTTTAAACACCAGGCCAAAACATTTATTTTTAGCCAAGTATTTAACAAAAGCATTCCGTATTTTAGCTGTTATTATGATCTGCTTGAAGCCTGAGGGCTGCTTTATGGAGAGCATTCTAGGACGTTGGCGTTTCATTTTTGTGCCTTGTTTTTAATGACTTGTTTAAATGCTGTTGCACTTACTATTTGAATTGTTTGGTTTTTACCAGCTTCCAGCCCTTCAAGTCTTCAGGAATATCTGTAAGTCTGGACTTTTTAGAAAGGGCTTTGTGGTAAAAAAAATGTTTTCCCCTCCTTTGGGGCTTTGGTTGGAATGCTAAGATGTATATTCGAAATTTGAGCTATGATTGAGGCAAAAATGGCTGTTGGACATTGTAGGTCTTATGTGGGTTTTTAATAGTGAAGAAGTTTTAATTTGATGTTGCAAGTCCCTCAACTTTTCTTTTGCATGAGCAGGCTATAAATATTTTGAAGAAGAAGAAGAATTGGTTTTATACCCTGCCTTTCTCAGCCTTAAAGAGTCTCAAAGCGGCTTACAATCACATTCCCTTCCTCTCCCCACAACTGGCCCCTTGTGAAGGGGCAGGTGGGGCTGAGAGAGTTCTGAGGGAACTGTGACTTGCCCAAGGTCACCCAAGCAGGCTTCATGTGGAGGAGGAGTAGGGAATCAAACCCGGTTCTCTAGATTAGAGTCCACCACTCTTAACCGCTACCAAGAAAGAAAGCCGCCGGACCGTAGTCCACGCCAGACACCGGGTATGCCAGGAACATCGGAGCACTGACGCCCCAAAAGACCGCCAGGGAACAAGCCAAGAACATCGAGCCCTGCCACCTGGGTGCTGGTAGAGAAGCCCCGACCCCTGTAAACATGTGGCCTTAGTTAGGGACAATTTCGGAACTGTGTAAACCGCTCAGAGACCCTTTGGGGTTTGGAGCGGTATAGAAATCTAAGGTATAAATAAATATAAATAAATAAATAAATATATTAGGAACTGAAATAAAAAGAGAGTGACATTCTAGAAGAAGAGCTCCTAACCAGTCTCTGACTTTCTGGGAAAAGCCCTTACATAACTGACAAGTTCTAACATGGCAGTGGAAGGAGGACAAAGATGTTGGTAAGCAGGCCTCTCTGTGCAGGGAGTCCTCCGTTACAGTTCTCAACATGCTTCCTTCTGTTCTCGCACCAAGTCAACAGGCGTGTGCCTGCTTGCTCCCCAATAGGGAGGAGTCCTAAAAATAAGACAACAGCCTCAGGGCGAAATCAGACATGAAAATGGTAGAATGGATCCGCCTCAGTGTAGAAGAACATAAGCATCCTGCAGTCTTTGACACGAACATGACTGCCAAGCAAACATACCTCGCAGGACTCCCTCAGTAACATGCAAGGGGAGCTCCTGCTTGGATTGCCCTGATGATTGCTGTTGTAGACATTTGGGTCGAGCAGCTTTGCATCTGCTCAGTTCATGCTCATTCTATAGGGCTCGGTCATTGCAGCTTTCAGCTGCTTTTGCCCAGTCTGAGAACTAAATCTTCCTTACTGATGACTGAGGCAGTTATCCCTTTGCATCATGGTCAGGTCGTTAAAGTGACCTATTCTTTTGTAAAGCAGAGAATGGCTTGCGATTTGTTCTCAGTTTGCGCCTGTACAGGTGGAATCATCCTTTAAATGACTGGTATTGGCTAGATCAGGGGTGTCAAACAAACAGCCCACGGGCCAGAACCAGCCCATCCAGGGATCTTATCTGGTCCTTGAGCAACTGGTAATTAGCTTCATTGCTAGTTGACAGAGGCTGTGCCTTATGTCCCTGTATCCTGTCCCAGGGCTAATGAGTAATGGGTGGTGGAAGTAGGAGGGCAGGTGGGCATCAGGGAGATACTTTGAGGAAATACTGTAAGAGTGTTAAATGTTTTAAGCATGTTTGTATTTTGAGTTAAAAAAAAAATCATTAATTGGGTTTGCCTGCGTCCTTTATAAAGTTTATATTTCCAGTACCTGGCATTACATTTTATGGCACACATGGGTCGGCCCGACAAAATGACATTTATGTCAGATCCGGCCCTCGTAACAAATCAGTTTGACACCTCTAGGCTAGATTGTATTAAAAGCCATTAATGAAAAAAGATAACAATTCCAGTCTGCGGTCCACAGTTAAGTGGAAAGTTCTTCTGTGGCAGTGCCATTGAATCTGTCTCCTGCTGCATATTTATCTCTCCTTTTCTTCAGGAGCTCAGATGCCATACATTGTTCTCTCTGTTCCCCATTTCACCCTCACAGCAACCCTGTGAGGTAGGTTAGACTGAAAGAGTGCGACTGGCCCAGTGGCACATAGAAAGCTTCCATGGCGGAGGACGGATCCAGAGTGGGATCCAGTGTAGTGTAGTGGTCAGAGTGTTGAGCTGGGATCTGGGAGACTCCAGGTTTGAATCCCCACGCTGCCATGGTATTGGGATATCGTTAGCAGAGTGTTCAAAGGCCTCACTAGCTCAGCAGAGCTATCTGGCACAGTGTGTGTGTGAAGAAGAAACAAAGTTACACAGAGCCTCTTTTATATTTGCAAACTAATAAGTTCTTTTTGACCTAAGGAACACCATTCCTAGACAGGATAGAGGAGAGACAGATCTTCTCATCTAGTCTAGAGGTATAACATCCAAATCACAAGATGTCATAGTCCTGCTGTACACTGCATTGGCCAGGCTGTACCTGGAGTATTGTGTGCAGTTCTGAAGGCCTCGCTTCAAAAAGGATGTGGACAGAATGGAGCATGTGCAGAGGAGAGCGACGAGGGTGATTGGGGGCCTGGAGACCACGCTCTAGGAGGAAAGGCTGAGGGACTTGGGAATGTTCTGTCTGGAGAAGAGGAGGTTGAGGGGGGACATGATTGCCTTCTCTATTTGCAGGGTTGTCACTTAAAGGAGGGCAGGGAGCTGTTCCTGTTGGCAGCAGAGGACAGGACCCGCAGGAATGGGTTTAAATTAAAGGCAGGAAGGTACCGGGCTGGATATTAGGAAAAAACTTTTTGACAGGAAGAGTTGTGCAACAAGCATATGGAGCAGAGGTCCATCAGTG